TCACACTTTAAGAAGCAGAAAATACAATATTTACACACCTATTAATGAGCTAAACAGGCAATAAATGAGCACACGTGTTTCAAAAAGGCACAACCTCACACTGTGTTCGTAAAATTCAAAATTATTTGATCCCCAATCCAGCATTCATTATTCTACTGATGACGAATTGAAATACGTATCATTATTCAAATGCTTCCAATCAAATCTCGTTCTTGGAAAATCCTATTTTTATCGTAAAATGGGGATTCCTTAAAACCTATAGAACGCTGTTCCTTGTTACTGAGCACAAAATATGAATCACTACTTACTACTATTACAGCCATCAAAGAACACTAAAATGAGAAAAAAAAACGGTTGATATTTTATCCAAACAATACTCTTCCGAATCCCCTACATGAGTCTTGAGTTTCTCAATTTACCTAAATTTTTAGTCGATTTCCAATATGAAATTGAGAAACAATAAGTTCATACCAACATGGATAAGAACATTTTTTGGTCGCAGTTGACTGTGACCTTAAAAAACTTTTAGTTCACCTATGGATGCGTCTTACGGGTGGATGTTAACCCAAAATCGTATATGTTAACTTACTACGCGGCTGAAGTGCCAGATATTATCAATATTTCAAAATTGTCTATGTAAATGAGGTGCTCTTGTTGGCATTCGATAAAATGCACAGTTCTCTTCGAAAAAACTGAATGTGGAACTTGTCATTCCAAGGGCTTACGAGAATGCTATCCCTTCAATATCTTCGACAATGTTCAATAAATATCATTTAGAACCTCTGATCAAGTATGACATTCTCATTGATTGTTCCAACTATTGTTTCTATCCATAATAGTGTCCAAAATATTAAATGAAAAACTATTTTTCAGTTAAGTACCAATTTTCGAGCAGCTGCAATTCTCTAGAAGGAGTAATTTCGAATCCATGATGTTAATATCAACGTTTATTCATTTCTGTTGGTGAAATTAGCTCATGATGGATTTTGGTGATTTTACTAGAAACTCTACTAGAAAAAAATTCAAAAACTTCGAGTTAATATACCCCATTGAGTGATTTGGAGATATATTATAAGGTAGGTGTTTTTCGCCTACCATATATGAAAATGAATCATATTAACCCTAAAAATATGATCGCAGTAATGCATATCGTCCCTTAATGGGTTGCTTAACTCAAACAACACGATTTTTCATTTTTCACTATCTATAGACATCTTTGACTGTCACTTGCGTGGCAAGTATTTTGATATTTCACATAAATTTTCATCAAACGTCAGTGTGATCAGAGTTTGGAATCAAGAGAACAATTAAGAAATCATAGTTTTTTGTTGTATTTCCCGTTTTTTATGGGTCACTCGTGCAGAAAACGCCTTAGCAGCCCTTGTATAGCTTCAGCTGCCCTCGCTTCGCTCAACCACGGGCTGCTAATGCTCATTTTCTGCCCTTGTGACACAATATCGCATCATCATCGTAGATACTTCACATTCCAATCAAACTTCTCAATCAGCGAGAAAAATTAAGAAATAATGATGATACCGCTGCCGTGACAAATTCACGAAACTGATTCTGTGACTAATAAGTAAAACACCTTATATGATCGCAGATAATAGATCATATGCGATCAAATTCATTTCTGAAAATTCTGGATAGTTTGATTAATGAATTTGAAACATCGAATCGAATAGAAAATATAGAAAATCTTTCAATTAGATGCACATATGTACTTGTACATCCTGTAGGTACTTTTATACTATCGTAATATTTTCGGCCAAATTAACGAATGAATAAAAAATTACGCACCAACTAGAGTTATTATCATTCTCTCGTAAATATTTAAATTTTGAATTAACTGCTCTCAACAGCAACGATATAGATAGGTTAGATAGCAGAGTTGAAATAGCAGTTGATATCTCATTGTTGTAACCTTATAATGCACTTTGGCACAGTTTTTCGTTATATATTTTCAGTTGATTCTTCATAATTTTCATAGTATGCATGGACATACTAAGTTAATGATTTCATATTTATTTGTTGAGATGATAAGAAATTGTGGTTAATTGTCCTGGTGTTTGAGCCAAAATTGAGCAAACGAGAATCCTATCATGAAAAAACTATATACAGATTCAATAATTATACATATAGCTAGCTGTATATGTGTTGTGTCGGGATCAGTTGTATAAACCTATTTGTTAACGAGGATTCAACTCTCTCTTAACACATCATACCATGAATACAAACAAATACAATTTTTTTTTCGTTTGTCAAAAAATGCTCCATGCAATCGAACTCCATCTCATTTAGTGGGATCTGTCATATTTCATGAAACGCAATATCCTTATTGATGACACTTTTATATAGCATCTAACCTATCAGCTTTCGCTATGAGCCATTTTAACCAATAGGTTAGGTGTTTTGTCAGGTATGTTCCTTCTTCTAAAAAATATCACAATATACGGTCGTGTTGGGTTGCTTCGAAATGTACACTGTGCAGGCTTCCTATGAAATAACGGAATCCACAATATAAAACTAGGTACGACATGTAAGTGATTTTATTTATAGTGCTTATGCTTCTGTTCCCAGTTATCGGTGAATTTTAAAAAGTTGAAATATCGTGTGATCGAACCATATCCGTAACTTGAGAAAGTTGTTTTATATCCAAATTTCATCCACATGCATTGATGCAAGGAATGTATAATAGGGGGTCGAAGGGGTTTACCTCTCTCCTGAAGCTAGCATCAGGCATTACCAGAAGTTTGTTCTATAACTCTTTCTTCTCTAATGTTGATTATGTATGAACGATAACAACATCAACAAAAATAGCAAGTCAGTAGTGACATTACAATTACGGTACAGTTGACGGAGATGATGAAGCTCATAGGTAGGTTCAGTACCTACCAACGCCGTCCAGGATGCATGTAACGAAAATGCCGAAGAGATACGCAACTCGTAATAGCCTATAACGGGAAAAATGAAGAATCAAACTTCCAGAAAGAATCGGTAAAAAATACCCAAGAAAAAGCCGTAGAAGAACCACCTCACACCTAATACTTGCTACATTTTGTCACCTTCAATCCTAATATCAGGAAAGATTCGCCTAGTCTTCGACGCTGAAAATTATGCGCACTCAGAGGGGCCACTTGGAGATTTTGATCCAATGTGATTTCTAAAGAAATGATGGTGTAGTCACGGATGTTGGCAAACCATTCACGTAGATGGGTGAAAAAATATTTATATTATATCATTCAGAGAAAGAAGTGGACAGTACCTTCTATCGCCCAAAGAAAGAAGTTGACAGATAATCGAAAACCCTTGAAAGTTGATGACATTGTTATTGTTGTTGACGACAGCTCACCAAGAAGTTCTTATAGAGAATGGGGAAAATATACAGGCTGATCCACGGTGGATGGCCTATTAGAAGTATCTGGAGAACGAAAAGACAGAACGTTCTGAAAATCAGGATGCTTTGATAATTGAACATTCTCTATCCGTCTGAAATATTTTCATCGATACAGTGTTGCCACTTCTATCAGAAACAACTAGCAACTTCGTTATTTCAAATAGAGCACCCTGTATTTCATTGCATTTTTAGATTCTCCCTGAAGAGCTGATTTCATCAATGTATCACACTTAGGGTCTAGCAGGAATGATTACAGAGATATAGGGTGTTCAAAATCGAGATTTTTCAATTTCAGGATTTTTTTGTGTCGAAACTATTCATTATTGATCAAAACGGCTTACATGTCCCTATCTCAACTTTCGATTCACTATCTATTGACATTTAATTAGAACAGATACAGGGTGATCAGAATTCTGAATCTTGAAGCACCCTGTATTTTTTCCAATCAAATTTCAGTAGATAGTCAATCAAAAGTTAAGATAGGGACATGTAAGCCGTTTTGATCGATAATGAATAGTTTCGACACAAAAAAATCCTAAAATTGAAAAATCTCGATTTTGAACACCCTATATCTCTGTAATCATTCCTGCTAGACCCCAAGTGTGATACATTGATGGAATCAGCTTTTCAGAAAGAATCTAAAAATGCAATAAAATTCTGGGTGTTCCATTTGAAATAACAAAGTTGCTAGTTGTTTCTGATAGAAGTGGCAACACTGTATCGATGAAAATATTTTAGACGGATAGAGAATGTTCAATTATCAAAGAAACCCAATTTTCAGGATGTTCTGTTTTTTCGTTCTCCAGATACTTCTAATAGGCCATCCACCGTGGATCACCCTGTATAGTAGGTATCTGTATATCCCGGCGTTGATGGTCATATTGGTGAAAAGTTGAATTATTTTGAAAATTGAAATCATTCTTGATGAAACTTGTCAGAAAACACTAGTTTGTCGAAATATTTCAGGCCGAAACAAAATTAATTTGGAGCAGTGTAAATTTTGCGGAATGTATTCTAGAATATGTCAACCCGCTGAGTATTTTTTCGCAACCTTAGATAAACCGCCCTGTATATTCTAAAGTCACTAAACAATACTTTGAATTTCAGTGATGAGAATATACCTAGGAAATATATTGAGAATATACAAGTGAAATAAAATGTTGGCGATCCAGTTTTCTGTACTGTTTTATGGTTTCAATTCCAGTTAACTCAACGTTTTTTACCAATAAGAATTCTGCACGATATACCTATACTTGACGTCACCATATTTCTTATCGGTTTTTCTAAACTTTTCACACAGCTAAGTTGCTCTAAACGCAGTTTCCCGCTAAATGAGATCAAATTCAGTATACAGGTTGTATCGAATCGTTACATATAGGACATGTGAATGACAACATAATTCGGCTGTCTTACTTCTTCACTATGCATTGTGCGCCCCACTGTATTACTGCTGGCGTTGCTCTCCGCATCTCTCCGTGACTGCGATATGTTACCAAATGCCATTCTTTCTTGAAACTCCTATATGTAACGATTCAATAAACTACCTGTATATCTGCATAAACTCAGGAGTTTATGGTTCCAATGTAAACACCCACGAAATAAATTACAGCGAATCCAACAAGGAATCGAGTAGTTCTAACTGGCAGTCGTCCCAACCTTTGGTTGCCAACAACAAACCTGTTAGTTCATCTTCACCGAGTAAATTATGTACAGGTTCCGTTATAACGGACTGGTTTGGCATGGATTCTGGAATAAAATCACTTTCGACTGAATTATCGGTGAGTGCTCCATCCGTCTTATCTTCTTTGATTTTGAGCTCCGTTGTTTTGCGTATTTTTTGTTCGACTTTCTTTTCTTTCTTCTTGGTATCCTCGAGATTTTCAATATCAGTTTCCCCACATATTGATATGTTGGAGAGAATATTGTGTTTCCTTTCCCCTGGGTTCTGGGATGAGCGATACCTTGAAAATAATTACCATAGTTAGTAGGTTCGAGTATATGTTGATGAGCAGTTTTAGAAGCCTCATAAGTATTGTGATATTGAGAAAGCATTTGATAGATGATGAAAATTTCCTGATCTATAATTAGTTGAATCTTTATTGGTATCAGTAGTTATTGGGTTCAAAGATGACATGGTTTAGTTTCAATTAGAAATGTTTCAGTTGGGGTATGTTCTATTGTAGATTAAAGTTTGATTAACATTGACGTCTTTGGATAAACACCTATTTGAGTTTCTATTCTTGGGGCCGGTTGCATCAAAATTTGGAGAGACGATCAAATATCGAAGTTGTTTATATCCATGGCAACGTGAGCATTAGCTAGTGAGTTGGGAGAATGAATTTTACGTTCAGTAAACATAAAGGTTGATGCATTAGTTAATAGATATAGCTTATTTGAGTTTTGATAACTGTTTGAGCCTTAAGGTTCGATTAATATTGTAGTCCATCGACCATATTCTTGTTTTTATGTTGTATATAGCCAACAATCTAGCCCGAACACTAAATTTCAGATATGTTGTCGATCACTTCTGTACCAGCCTGGAACAATTTCATGATGCATTCCCAAATGCAAATATCCCATAATGATATATTTTCCAATCAAAGACTGAATTTTCCACATGGTTACGAAACAAAACACTGTATCTGCAAAGAAAGATCATCTGGTAGAATCGTATGGTGAAAAGTCCTGATTAGTCTGTCTCAAAGTTGTCACAAGAAACAGGTAGGAAACTAATTAGTCTTTCTGTAGGGACTTGTCATAAGGCACTGCAGAAAATTCTCCGAATTCATCCTTACTTCTGAAAGGAGAATCCGATTTTGTCATTGGTTCAATAAACATTTGAATGATAATGATGTGCTGGATTTAACTTTTTCCACTGATGAAGCCTGGTTTATGATATGGGTCACTTGATGGAATTTTTTTGTGGATAACCCCTAACATTGCGCTTTAGTTTTCCCATGAATCATGGCACCACCGAACGGTACGGTCAATTGGCAGGTAATACGAAGTAAGGAACGAGATATTATGCTTCTCATCATGCTTTTTTCTAGTTTACTTCTTTATTCTCAAAAATTTACAAGAAAAGAGGGGCCATTCTTCTAGACATCCTAGCCTAACTCTGCCGTTCGTTTGGTACTTACAGTCTGGAAAAGTCGGAAGATGAATAGAAGAAGTTGAAAGAAGTTATCGAGTAATTCTCTAAAATACATTCCTAAAATTGATTGTTTCTTGTATAAAGTAGTCCCTTCAGAAAAGAAATGTTTTGTCAGAGTAAGCTAGAATATATGACCCTTTGGGGTTGGTTAAATGTGTCATTGAATGAGATGGTGAAGAAGTTGGTACAAATCCCAGAAACTATTGCTCTTTCTAGTGAAGATACTTTGTGTGGAAAAATATTCGTGAATTCGCATGCAAGGAATGATAGTGGAAGTTACATTGTACAACTTCCTTTCAAAAAGCATGCTGGTAAGTTAGGAGAGTCATATAGTTCAGCCTTACGTCGGTTTTTATCTCTCGAGTCCCGTTTGAAGAAGAATCCTGATTTGTACGGAAGTTATTCTGATTTCATGAAGAAATACATCGAATCTGACCATGTGTCAAAATTCGAGCCATCTGAGAAACGAACCTGATGAAGTGTGCCTGAGAGTAGTACAACAAAATTGAGGGTAGTGTTTGACGTCAAGTGGTGTTTCCTTGAACGACAAACTTCTTGTGGGTCCTACATTGCAATTAAACATTGCAACAATTTTGCTAAACTTTCGTATGCATGAGGTAGTTTTTATGGCCGATATACGCCAAATGTATCGACAGATACTTGTGATAGATGATCATAGGGATTTTCAACGTGTTCTGTGGCGATTCTCTGATCATGACGATACGGTAACGTATGGATTGGGGCAAAGTCCCTATTCAGCAATAAGAACTTTGTTCCAACTGGTGAGTGATGAAGGTGATAATCATTCTTTGGCTGCGGGAGTGTTGAGGTCGAGTATTTATGTGGACGACATAGTAAGTGGTGCACATTCTGGAGCGTGTCTGTGAGATTCAGAAGGAGTTGATTGATTTGCTTGATAAAGTTGGTTTCCTTTTGCGAAAATGGGCAAGCAATCGTGCTGAAGCATCGTGTTCTGTTCCTGTTGTTCGAAAATGGAAATAAATCATTTGTGAAGGTTTTGGGATTGCAGTGGTTCGAATTGAATACAATTTGTATCGTTAGATACGTTGATATGTCGTCATGTTAGAGGAAAAAAAAACGATAAATGGGTAATTTTTGTAACCAATAAATGATAATATTTGGCGACGGCATCGTATAAATCAGATTCGACGTAAGTGATTGAATTCGACACTGTATCCTGGAGTACAGGTCGAATGAAACGTTATACATAGAGTATTTGTCATGTAAGGCCTGTTCGTTTGTGCTGCTCTACCTGCTTAACTTGATTTTTTTTCTATGACTCTCTCTGTTTACATCATGCCATGAACAAAGACAACTATGGGAAACGAATCAACTCTAGCAAGTTCAGCAATTCAAACGAACAGGCCTGTGAAATCTCATGTCTCATTAGTGCGCTTCAATTCAGTATCTATTCGACTTTCGGAGAAGAGAAGATTATAACTACCTATGCACAATTCATATCGATGCCTACTAACCTTTTTGTTTTCCTAGGAGGTTTCAACACTTTTTCATCGGAAGAGTGCCTATTTCTAGGTACTCGAACCGTCAAACTGGACCTCCTCTTCGATCTCCGAGATTCTTCTAGCCTTTCCAGATCTAATTTCCAGAACCCTCCTTTGCCCGGCTCGTCCTTAGATCTCGGGTGTTTCATGAAACACTTATTCAAGGACAGGTTGTGCCTTATTGAATTCTGTAACAATATACTTATTGAAAGATCGAGATATTGTGTTGGCCCATTTGAATATTCTTTTTATCATTAATTAACACGCTTTCATTAGCTTCACCTGTATGCATGTGAGTATTTCTGTAACCGACCCTTTTGGACTCGATTTTGACCCACTTTGAACGGACCGATTGATCTCAAATTAGGCAAGTGTACATAATTGCATCATAAAATTTTTGTTTATCGAGAAACAAAAAAGCAATAATGGTGGACTAGTTTTTTAATTATGAGCCGATTCTATCGAGGTCGGAGCTTATGTTAATAATAATAATATAATAATATATGTGTGTTTCTAAAACTTTTGTGAAACTAACTCTGTGGAATATGAAACATTCCACCTATATACTCTGTAATGTTACATTGAGATGATTCAATTGGAATGTCTCTGCTACATTTCATTGTTATGCCCGAGGCCGTGCAGGAACGTCTCAAAGTCATCTCATTCGCGCGATAACTGGAGCGTTATTGGAGAAATGTCTTAGGAACATTTCACGACTGCAGTACTTGAAATATTTCATAAATGCACTCCTTCAAATGTCTCATTTGAGCACATATGTTTTCTGAGAGAATATAATTGCATATTCAGTTGATTAACCAAAATTTGCGAATAAAAAAATTGTGTTTCAGTCTCATATTTGAGAAACTGAATGAAATTCAAGACCGATTCGACGTGATTTGTGATAATAATCTGTATACTAGGAGTTCTTGATGAAAGTAAATGACTAGGTACGTATACTCTCAAGGGCACATATCTCGCTGACATATTCTTTTTAAATGGTTTCTTCACTGTGACGGGAAAAGAGTTTGACATTTCATCTCTATTGACAGGTTATAAAATATATAATTTTTTTCCCATGGGAAAAGTATAAACATATACACTGTTGATCGCTTTTGTTGTGCTAGTTGCGAAAAATAAGCCAATAACACCGTGTCCGAGAAAGAATTACGAGTCCTTTTATCTTTCAATCCACTTAGCGGTTACCAAAATGAATGAAAAACCACTATGAGTTCGCAATTTTCGAAATCAAATCACAGAATTAGACTGACAGATATTTGATAACTTCAAAAGAGTGATAAAGATGCCTACAAAAAGATGCCTGCAACGCAGGTGTAATTCCTGTTGAAATCTTCAAATTCCACTTCCATAATTTTCTGATTTAAATATAATGTAATATGTTCTTTATATTGATCAGTCTTATTTTCTGTCACAGATGAAAATAGAGCACTATTCACAGATGAAAATAGAGCACTATTCACAGATTAGATTTGAGCTCACGTTTTTTTGTCTTCCTCCACTGCGCGTCGGAAGACGTCACACAACCTCGAGCTAAAGTCTAGTACTTTTTCTGTTAACAAAAAGGATCTATTTCTTATCGTTTTCCTTTATTTTCTTTTTATCTGGCATTATTTCAACTCATCTTAGTTTTTTTTTATCGCTTGGAGCGCACGAAAGGGAATTCCTATGATGTTCAAAGAACATCGTGCGTTCCTAGGGAGGATAAGGACAGGAGGTAGGTATTGGCATTTTTTTTGAACTTCTGGAGATTATATGTTGTTGGGAATACTTTCACAGGCAATGAATTCCAGAGCCTAGCCGTTCTATGGATGAAGGAGTCTTGATAAAGTGCTGTTCGACATCTTCCGAGGTTGACAACGGAAGGATGTGCTGACGGGGCATGTCTAGTTCGTCTGATTGGTATTGCTAGTGAAGGGATGATAGCAGAGATGTCCGAAGAACATTTCCCGTGGAAGTATTGATAGAAAAGTGAAAGGTCGCCGACCTTTCTACGGTGTTCCAATGATGTCAAAGAGTTAGTGAGTGTGGCGTCACCCACCAGGCGAATGGCTCTTCCCTGGCTGGAATCTAAGAGCATCAGCGTATGTTTTGGTGCTGAACCCCATATGTGGGAACAGTATTCTAGAACAGGCCGTATCTGCGCTTTGTAGATCATGAGAAGCAGTTGAGGTGTAAAGTAGCTTTTCGCACGGAACAAGAATCCAAGTTTTTGTGAAGCAGCTTCTGCGATGGATCTGACAAGATTATCCCATGAAAGAGTGTTGCTGATAAAAATACCGAGCATAGATATGGTGGGCTTGGTGGGGATGGTGGAGCCAGACATTACAATATCGGGCATACTGAGTTCCGCCTTTCTAGAGAAAATGCAGGCTTGAGTTTCGGTGGCGTTGAATTCAACTAGGTTGTTTGTTCCCCAGGCTGTGATTTCAGCAAGATCTTCATTGACAGCATTGACCTGCCTGCGCCGTGAGTTCTTAGTTTCCTGGAAAGAAATGGAAATTCTGGAAGAGAACGCAGTATGCAGGGTACTGCAAAGCTGTAGATGGGGCAAGTTGTTACTCCCAACAGATCATTGATATGGGGCAGGAATAATGTTGGTGCCAAAATTGATCCTTGGGGAACGCCGGAATTGATGCCAATGGTATCAGACGATACACCGTCCACCACCACGTGAAGCGATCTGCCTGAAAGAAAACTCGATAAGAGATGGCATAGCTGGGGTGGTAAGCCGTATGATGGTAGTTTGTGGAGGAGTCCTTCGTGCCAAACACGGTCGAATACTTTCGATATGTCCAACGCGACAGCTAGAGATTCTTCGTGTTTTTTTATTGAAGATTGCCATAAATGGGCGACGTAGGCAAGTAGATCTCCAGTAGATCTTCGGTGGCGAAAGCCGTATTGTCTATCATTGATGCTTCCTGAGCTCTCCAGATATTTGATAAGATCACTATTGATGGCTTTCTCCATCACTTTGGAGATTACTGATAACGGAGCAATGGGCCTGTAGTTGTTGGGCAGGTCTTTGTTTGGGGATTGGTTGGACTCTATCTGTCTTCCAGCATGATGGAAAAATACCCGACCTGTATGAGATGGTAAACAACTTGCAGAGAATCGGTGTTAATTCTGGTGCACATTTTTTGAGGATAATGGGTGGAATTCCATCAGGATCGTTAGCCTTATTCGGTTTGAGACCAAGCAAAATTCGTCTGATAGTGCGTTGACGGAAGACGATTTCGGGCATTCGAGTCTCAACGGTTGGAATGTCTGGCGGCAGTTTTCCTTGGGAACCTAAAGTAGAGTTTGCTGCGAATATCTTAGCAAAAATATTTGCTTCCTGCAAATGAACTATTAGTGAAATTTCTTCCGACCGCTTTAGCAAGGGACCAAAACGAACGGGAGCCATTGGGGCAATCTATGAGTTTCGATCTTATCTTGGCATTGTATGTTTCTTTCGAAGCATCTATTGTTTGGCTGCAGTTATTCCTGGCATCAACGTATTCTGCTCTAGTCGCGAGGTTAGGGTTTTTGCGCCAGCGATGGTAGGCTGTTTGTTTCAAAGCAACAGTTCTAGAACAGTTTTTGTTGAACCAGGGTTTCGAAGGTGATGATCTTTTCGAAAAATGAGGTATGTATGTATCCATTCCGAGCATGATGATCTTGGATATTTCCGCAGCACACTGTGAAGGGTCCTCAGAGTCAAAGCATACTCTATGCCAAGGAAACTCGGAGAAAAACATGCGGAGACCGTCCCAATCACCTGAATTGTAATGCCATATAAGACGTGGGGGTGCCGGAGCAGTTGATGCAATGAAAAATGGGCAGGTTGTGGAGATGAGTGTGTGGTCAGAATTGCCAAGTGGAGCTCGTACATCTATGGTGTAGGTTGCTGAATTATTAATGAGGAATAAGTCAAGTATGTTAGCTGAATGGTTATTGGCATCGGGAATTCGATTGGTACGATCCACTGAATAACTCTTCGTAACCCAAAGTACAACAGTATATATTTTATTGAATTCTACCCATTTCTACAAATATTTCATATATCTTGGTTAGCAGAGGAAGAATTGTTAAACAACAAATTTGATAATTTGTGATTCGCATTAATTTTGCGAGAATCGTACAAGCATGAACATACCTTGAAACCGAACAAAAATAATCTCAAATTCGAAGCTTGGGTTATTTCATTTTTGTATATACCGGGTGTCCCGAAATTAGCCTGCCAAACTTCACCAGCGCCTTCTTCGACCAAAAAAGGAAGAAAAGTTCCAATGGAAATGAATCAAGAAATGTCTCCTAAGGAGGCTACGGCCCCCTGAAAGGGGGCTCCTGAAGATTATATTTCTTGAATATTTTCGAAACGGCACGTGATAGAATGACACAATTCGGTACAAGAACTAAACTCTCAATGCCCAATGCGGTGAACATAAAATAATTTTGAAGTTTCATTCAGGGGTGTATAATACAGGGTGGGCCTACATTAAATATTACTCAAACTTTTTAGTATGCATATTTTTTGAGAATTCAATCTCGGATTATGAAAATCCACACCATTTCACATAAAAAAGAACTCTTGTTCCACATCGTTCAGATGTATAATCTCCGAGTGAAATCGATTTAAAAATATTGATGCACTCACATCTTATGCATAACGTTGCCTATTTTCAAATCGTAGTGGCTTTAAAAAATCAAGTACTCTCACCAAACAATCTCATGAAAGCTCAAAAGATAAAAAAATAATGATGGAACAACTAGTTCAATTCTTGTGAATTTGTGAATTTCTTCCCATTTTCACTACGCCTCATTGCAATTGCATGATATCTGAGATGTAACAATATTTTTCAATTGCTTTTACTCGATGATTATACATCTGATCGTCACGGAACAAGAAGACCTTTCTTCTGTAAATAGGTGTGAAATTTCATAATCCGAGATTGAATTGTCGAAAAATATGCATACAAAAAATTTTGAGCAATATTTAATGTAGTCCCACTCTGTATTATACACTCCTGATTAAAATTTTGAAATGATTTCAGTTTTACTGCATTCGGTATGGAAATTTCAGTTCTTGTACCAAATTGCATCTTTTTATTCCATGGAGTTTCGGAAATACTCAGGAAATATCTTCCAGGGGGCCGTAGCTTCCTTAGGAGACATTTCTCGACTCATGTTC